TACGGTTGCATTTATGTACCCATATATCCTTGCAACACTACAGCCACTTCATATCAATCCGCCTCACATTGTACTTCGCAATTGAAGAGTTAGGAGCATCAGGAACGGTCCATCATTTGTGGGCGGACGGGTGCGGTGGGCGTCGGGTAGGTATGTTGTAGCTTGATAGGGCGCTATAAGGGCACCATCTTGGAAAAGACGCAGCGCTTGCTCAAGCGCGCCGAGTTCAGTCCTGCAAGGCGTATTAGTCCTACACGTCTTAGAGATTTATCGTGCCAACGGTCTTCAAGACGATGAGGAAAGGGGACACATCAGTAAGGAAGCTTGACTCCGCCCATACCATTAGCATAGGATGTACGTGCCTTTCATAAAACAATCTATATGTTGGCTGAATAATGGAAAGAGAAGAAAGGGGATAGCGGTCACTCTCAGTATAAATTTTGTCAGCGTCAGATCATGTAGTGCTCCGCAAGGCACAAGCCATCGAATCAGGGATATTGGAATAAACTTGGTACCACAAAACGGTGGGGGACGACTTTTCTGCGCACCGTTGCAGGACGATAGCCCTTCTTCTCCCATACAACTATGAAATCTTAACTCCCACATCCTTGTGTAAACAGCAAAGCAACACACGAGGGCCGCGACGAGGACCCGAGCGCCATTACTTGTCAAATCCATTCTCTGCTCTAACAATAAGAGGCAGCAACTGTTGTTCTACATAGTTGGCAGTCATACTAGAGAAAAACTGATTCTGTCTGCTCGATGTCCACTGTCTACTGAATGATTCTCGGTTTCAGAAGATCAATGCCGATTACAAAAAGAATTTGTTGAATCTCAAGAACATCTTGCTTATCAAATTCACAAAGGATCATATGGTCGTGCCAAAGGAGTCCTCGGTGAGCCTTTTCAGAGAAGCTTTTAGTTCTTGAAAGCACGTTCCGTACTGATGCGTAGGCAAGGTCACTCAGAGAAAGCGGGGGGGACTGTTTAAGTGCGCTCAGCCCGCACTACATATGCGCGCGGAATGTGCCTGCGTTCTGATTTTGCACCCAACTTTCACGTGCTCTGCTTCCCAATGTATCAGAATTAATAATTGATAATTGGCAACTAACAGTTATATAATAACGAAAATATTATTGTTTTTCGTCTTCAGTGGTTCGGATATTTCAAAGAAGGAGACCTAGAGACGATAGTACCGATGAACGAAACGACATTATACACAGAGGTGATCGCTGTATAATAGCAATCTGGTTGGCTAGTAGAACGACCTTTTAGTTAATCAGCATTTTCAGGACCGAATCGGCTTGAAAAAACTACAAGAAACGGGTCGACTGCATTTTCTCGAAGTAGAGGGCGATCATTTGAGGATCAGCACTGAAGAGTGCATTTTCTCGAAGTAGAGGGCGATCATTTGAGGATCAGCACTGAAGAGTTTAAAAAGGAAGTAATTGACAAGTATTTGAAATGACGAAGTAATAAATATTCCTGGTACACATATTGAGCTCAGGGAAGGCAATCAAAGATCCCCTTGATCTGCTTGATCGCTTGAATACTCGAAAAAAATGCTTGATCGCTCGAAACCGCATTGCGGTTTCATACAGCCTTGGGGAGCTGGGAAGGGAGGGTAGAGTTGGCTCCGCAGCCGTCAAACCGTTTTCCCCAAATGTCGTTGCTTGTCAGCTTCTACAATTGCTAGACAGCGGGTTGGCGCAGCGCCTAACCCAGCCCCCTGAAACGCCCCAGCATCCGCAAAGGACAAGACTGTGTTAATGACGAGATTGGTTTTTGCTTCTGAAACCGCTGCTGTGAGGGCTCCTACTCCCAAATAGGTATTTTGAAAGAGCTTGGCGTGAAATATTCGCTCGAGGGGCGTGAGGTCCAGACATGAAGTCATAGCTACAGAGAAGGATTGCCTGTATTTATACATTCTCGATAACTACTCATCGCGAATGGCAGAGGTAAACAGCAGTAATCATAACAAACAGCTCGTTCGAGTGAGACACTGATAGGAGGTGGCAATGGGTTTTCAATAGATTTATTAGATTCACTGTGACCAGGGTGCAGTCCAGCCGCCAAATGCATGTGAGATCTCCTTGGCGGCAGCGACGAGAAGCCGATCTGCGTTTGGTGAGCCAACTACCTGAACAAAACTTATTGAATTTCTGATTCGAATGTACATTGGGTCTTCAGTACTAGTACACCTCTTTTTCCCTTTTGAGAGAAGAGGTGTCCAGTCTAGACGGTGGTACAGACGCCAAAGATCTCCTCTTAACTCACCTGAACTCCAAGTGGGAGGCCGTTGCTGTCCAATCCTGTAGGGCACTGTATTACGGGAAGAGCGAGGGCGTTGAATAGACCCGTATAGGCGAGGTTGAACGGCGTCAAGACAGTTTGATGATGGAAAGGTGCCGTCTGTGGCCACCTTGAATGTAAATCGATTGAAAATGGAATCGACTTCGATTGAACAGCCTCGCATAAAACTAAAGAGGCGTTTTCGGCAAGTTGATCAGTTTTATCCACAAACTTCAAAAACAATTTTCAAATTAACTCAAATAGTTAACAAGTTTTTCGAGTACCGTCTCCACTGGTAACATTGCCCAGAGCCATACTTTTCTCTCAACCTTCTGGTATTTGGGTGTCTCACACGTCTCCTAACTTTTTGAGTCAAGAAATTCTCTTAACTATTTTTCGAAAACAACTTCTAAAAGCGACATAATAGCCATAATGATTTATAAGGTATGTCCACCAAACAGTAATGTAACCAGGAACGTAATCATATGTTACATTTCCTTCCCCCTAGCCTCTTCCTTGACAGGGTAAAGGCGTTGTGTGAAACAATAGGGGGGGGGTCATACGCTTCTTCCCTGGGGATGAGGTCGTACTTGGTCGTTGGAAGAGAGGGTCGTATGTGCCTTTGAGAGGAATTTGTCGCGTTGGTTTTCCGGCTGTTGATTTCTTGCGTGATTTTTCCTGTTTCATGTGCACTAGTATACCCCGCTCAACGGAAAATTTCTGGGTGAAAAACTGGAAAATGGGAGGAAACTTGCAAGTAGGTGCTGGGAAAGGGGGGGGAGGGTCGCACAGAGATTCTCGTTAAAGGTGGGGAAGGTCGTACCTACACATACCTCACACACGCTGTACCTGTGTTCCCTGAAGGCAGCTCTGTCTTGGAACCGTTTTTCCCTAGAGTGATGTTGATGGGGTCAATGATGTTGATGTTGATGGGATGATGTTGATGGACAGGCGCATGGGCTTGAGTGAGGAGAGTGTGGAAGGCAAGAAAGAGCTTCACTTCCCAATCCCTGTTAGGCATCCTAGAACTTCAGCTCGGGTAGGCTGACCTTACCGTAGAAGGGGAACCGTTTCCGGTGTTTCTAGGGCACGCCGACGTATGGGAACCCACTACTTTCTTCTTAAATATTAGGTTGTCCGGAAAGTTCTTAGCGTTTTGTGCACCTAATCTTTGTACATTCACTGCTGATTAAAAACTCATTCTGCCTTGCTTCTCAGTAGCACATCCTGTAGAGAATTTCTTGCGCTATCTGATGGTATAATTGCCGTTTCACCATTGCTTGATAAACCCTTTTTTCAAGATTTTTTCAAGCATGTGAAAAGAGCACTTCGGACGATTTTTTTCTTCGACTATAAATTGGGGCAATCCGCAATCGAAACAGCTCAACAAATTAACCAGGTGTGGGCCCAATAGTGAGAAAGCACTGTGCGGCAATGGCTCAACAAATGTCGTTCTGGAAATTTCAGCCTTGAAGGTGACCTCATAGCGGTCGACCTAAAGCAATATCTGACGAGGATTTTAGGGGGATTTTGAAGGTTGACCCATCCCAAACAGTTCGAGAGATAGCAGAAGAGCTAGGCCTTGGCAAATCCACTGTTGCAGATGGTCTGGAACGCATTGGGAAGGTGAAAAACTCGACAATTGGGTGCCCCACAATCGGAGTGACCGGCAGGAATCGGCACGTCTCGAGGTTCCTTCTTCACTGCTTTTGCGCAAAAGAATTGACCCGTTTTTGAACGGATTTGTCACCTGTGATGAAAAATGGATCATGTATGATAACAGGAGACGTTCCGGACAGTGGTTGGATTTGGAGGAACCACCGAGGTAATTTTCAAAGCCGAACCCTCGCGAAAAAAAAATTCTGGTCAGGTTTGGTGGTCATCGGCTGTTGTAATCCACTATAACTTTTCATCACCAGGCCAAACCATCACAGCAGAACCCTACTGTGAACAAACCGACCAAATGTACCGAAAATATTGTCAGCTGCAGCCAACACTTATCAAAAGAAAGGGTCCGATTCTTTTGCATGACAACGCCCGCCCACACGTTTCACAAATCACTATCCATAAATTGAACGAATTGGGAGTTGAAGTTCTACCTCACCCACCATATTCTCTAGACCCTTTCACCAACCGACTGTCACCTTTTCAGACATTTTCAGAACTTTCCTGCTGAGAAATACTTCATCAAACAGGACCAGGCAAAAAAGACCTTCGCAGATTTCGTGGATTCTCGACCACCCAGTTTTTTTTGATGGGATTTCTCGACTGCTGCCACATTGGCAAAAGTGTGCTGATTCGAATGGTGCTTATTTGGATTAAATCCGATGAGTGTTAAGAAAGTTATGATCGTTTAAAGTTAAACACCCAAAACGCTAAGAACTTTCCGGACAACCTAATAACACATGCGATTAGTTACCCTAACTTTGGATTTCTCTTGCAGATGTCTTATAGTGGGACCTTGCCATCAATGCAGTTCGGAAGTAGAATCTAAAGCCATTAACTTACAGTGCGTGCCGGCTGTCTAGGGTCCACCGTGGCACTTGGTCAGGCTCGGATAGTTATTCTCCTCATCTGAAGACGACGAGCGTTTCGCAGAGTGCTCGCTCTCAGATTAGATGAATAATCCTACACTAGCTACCAGCGCCGCAAATCCATCATAGAACTACTACTATTATTAAGAATTGATTGGAGACGACATCCCTCCGCTCAACGTCAGTCTTTTTCTTTTTCCCGGAAGGGGGGGGGGACTGGAAGAAACTCTTGAAAATTTGGAAAAAACGTAAAGGGTCGGAAAAATATAGGAAGATGGCAAGTACGATAGGGAAGGGGTGTCGTACCGAACGAGGGAAATTTGTGGGCAGGTCGCGCTGGAACTGCCATTTCACACATCCTGATGCTGTTCGCTGATCAGGAAGGCATAAGTTCAGATTCGAATCAAAAGCCGAATTTTTTATCGGTTATTGTGCGATTATTGCCGATTGATTTCATTTTAAGTATTTGCTCCATTGGAATGAAATAAAAATTTTATGTGGAGTCCATTATTAGGTCAAACGTTATTTTTCATGAGTAACTTTTAATCGCAGAGTAAAGAAGACTCACGAAGGGAACAGAAGAATTCCATCGTTTCCAAGAAGCTCAGTGACTTGCCGAATTAGACGATCACGAAGTCGTAGGAACTGTAATCAGTCAATAGTCAATCCGCAAAAATGCTTCCGAACTTGTTTATTATATTTTGCTCTAGTCGGGAGGAGGAAAAGTCGAGCAAAGGTTCGGGTACCCGGGGTTCGCACCAGTATACCCTCTAGGATATGAACGGAAGGAAAGGGAGAAGGCGCCCCGTGCAAAAAATCGTAATGTGAGTACTTTTTTACTGTCCCAGCAACTGTGCGGCTTTTCTGAACCATGTCTGAGACCGGCATTTGTAACGGCCATCGAGGCTCAGTGGGGGCCGTGACCATCATCCTTCACCATTTCCCAAGTGACCAAACTCAGCGATAGTAGACATGGTCCCGGTCGCAGACGGGTTAAACGGACGTTGTAATTGGTGGCTCAACAGTTATCCCACTCTTGTCAAGATTGATGTATACGTGCTAGGGTGGTGACATACCTCTGCTTTATCCTCCGCCGACATCCTGTCCAGGTCATCGAACATACAAGT